ATCTCCACGCCATTGCTAACTTGGTGACTACAGTAGTTAAGCCAGTACTTTACGACCGCAGCCCCTTATGTTCCTGTGAGCATGTAAACGTCAACACTAAACTCCAACAACTTACCACCCAACGGTTGCTTAATTTATCTATCAGATAAATAATAACACCCTTTGGGATACTTCCTGCCCGATCGAACTCCTGGCGATTACGATAAGAGTGGTAGGCTGTTTGCCTAGATTGAATTTGTATTATAACACTATGATTATCTGCAATTCGAAGACGCGTAACGAGCTTCTGGTGACAAACGTTGATTAGTTTGTTACACAACTTAATTTATTTTCAAAAAGTTTCTAATACACATCGATTGAAAAATTAAAGTGACTAACGAAGAAGTTTTTTTCGTGTTAAAAAATAGTTAGAGGTAAATGTCAGTATGTCAAAAAATTCTTGCTGGAAGCCCAGAAACAGAGTTAGTACCAAAACCAATAAATATTTTAGATCTTATTTTATGTAACTAATTATTATTAAACAAAAAAAGCTTCCTGTAACGTGCCAAGCGCAAAATAAGCAGGCTAACGAAATGCTGGCAAACACAACGCCTATTACTGGTTGGCCAAAGGCCGCTTCATTCACGTACGTTTCTTAGAGGTCCGCCGACAACCGACATTACCCACGTATGTTTCGAAGACAAGTCAATCAACCAATACTAAAAAAATCGCATAATCGTGTTGTATAAATTTACCAAAAGGCGATATATCACAGACGATTCAAATCTAGATTTGGCTGAGCCCCTAGCAATATATATATAAGAACAAACAGGGTGATTGAGACAGGATAACTGTTAATGTGTAACAAAACAGACGTGAGGCGAAACCCGCGGATTCGGCTAGTATATATACATATATGGGAAGTTTTGGAATTGTTATTTCAGTGGAAAAATAATCGGAGGTATACGAAGAGTTTTCAGAAGGTTGTTTACCTATAAAACGAATAGATAAAGAATGCCGATAATTAGTACATTTTTTTATTTCAATTTTTTTTTATGAAGTTTGTATGTTTTAGCAAAATAATAAAAATTAACACTGATTGATGCGTGTGAGTTACAGTTGGATGAGATGGAAGTCATAAGGTGGGAGAAAAATATGTTTACAGGTAGAAGAAACCCACGTTCGCGGTTTAAATAGTACCTGTTTCAACTGTTAGCACTTTTTTTCTTTTCCTGATGTTTTAATTGCGTTTTGCCGAAGTGTAGATCTACCTTCACTTCCCTTGTAACCTCTTGTTCCAAAGAGCGAAGCATATCCGTCTAAAACAAATTATGTGATTTGATTGGAACCTGAAACAGCTGTAGGAAACCTGCTTAAAGTTTTACCACTGATTAGCATTTATTATTACGTTTGCCCAAACGTCCCAAGAATAAACTAACTATGGCTGAAGTCTTTCTTTTTTTTTGAACTGTAGCTGACTTCGCATTAAGTCTTGCGCTCGCGCTCGTCATTCCGTTAGATGTGTCCACGTTTCACCACTCCACGATTACACAGCTTCCTTAGCAAGCCACCTTTCTTCTCTGAATGTACACGTTGACAACACCAACAGCAAATCGGGCTAGAACCTCCCTTCGTCTTCATTTATCATCGTAATTCTTGCGTTGGAAAAAGCGGATGTTGATGTTCCGCTTACTGTCTTAGTCTTCCTCGCCTCGGCGGCTTCTTGACGGACGCGTTGCTTTTCCGTGCACTAAACAAAAAATAAAAATCCTTTCGCTCTTCCCCCTTATCCTAGAAATAGCGAAGCTACTGTTTTTGCGATGCGTTGGGTATTTATCTGATTTTGTCCGCGTTCAAGAACAGGTCAAATTGCTGCGCGTGTCTCCCGTATACTTTAAATGAAATCAAGCACCATGATATAAAAATTTTTAGTAACATAATACGCTGCCCAGAGTGCTGGGCACCAGGACTATAAAAATCAAGTACAACCAAAATACGCTTATAGAAGCGAACGGAGTTATAAAAAGCTAGCGTTACTATAACATTCAAACAAAACATTAGAGGAGTAGCGGCTGAGGAGTAATGTATGTATTCTTCAAACGCTTGCTAAGACTGTGCACTCCTTATACCAATAGCATGATAAATACAATGCCCCTTGAATAGACCTGGTCCACAATGGTAACTGTCAACAAAATCAATGTTTGCAGATTTTGTTTTCGTTTCCGCAGATAAGCTTAAACCTGCTCGTTTATATAAAATGGTACTTAACTTTCTTGTCGCACTAATCGCACCTAACGAGTTAGAGGGACAGTCAAACTGACAAGAATATTTGACTTAAGATATTTTCGTTGCTTTTAGTAGGACGGAGTACCATCAAGCTAAGAACATGTTTCTCATTTTACTTCTAGCTTCTCTGTAGATTAATATCTCTCAATAAAATGGCTGCCCGATTACTAAACCTTGCCTAAATTAATTTGTTTTTCGGCTGTTGTTAAGTTCAACATCCCGTAGATCGATTGTACTGCAGTCCAATACCGTCGAGTAATCGGAGTCACACGCAAATAAGGCACGTTCACCAATCAATAAATGCCTTTACGCTAAGGTTGATGACATAGTTGCCCTAATAATGCCCAGCGGGCACTACTTTAAACAATACGAAGTACGACTTTTACACATGTTAATGCATCACAATTTTAAAGTAATAACAACATTCTAACAAAGATGGGTAAGTTGGTTTGGTACAGAAAAACTAGAAGTAAATTTAGAAGCCCAGTTACATTGGCTTGTTACTACATCAGAGTGTTTACTGTACTGTATTCAAAGGTGTAATGCTTTTTTTATACTTCAAATAGAACACCTTAGCTGTCTACATGTTACGATACACCTGCCAACATTGCCGCTACACCCCGTCTTTGGAGTAACTCTATTTGAGGGCTAATGTAGCAAACGGTTGTACCGGTACCCGGCAGTTGAGCTTAAATTCTTTTTTACTTTTCATTGGCAGGGCGACACGTATCGGCGAAGCTAGGGAGGAGCAGACGAAATTCATATTAACAGACGATCGGATCGCCAATTTAACACACAGCAGAATGAACACGCACACGCAGGTTGGTAAGAAGCTCTAAGAACGATTTTCGTAGCGAGTGCACGAAGGTATAATTGCAGCACTTGCCAACGTCAGTTTCACTAGCCAATATCATTCTCTAATTACTCACATAGAAAAACAAACGGCATACAGAGGTATTTCATAATATTACTTCCAAGAATCACAGTTATTTTTCGTCACTGTTTGTGATAACTACTAAGGCTCATCAACCGTATTAACGATTGAACTCGTGTCGACAGGACGACATTACAGATCAAAGATACAAAAATCGACAATCCTTTACGATGAGAAATTCTATGATGTAAACACATATCTTGAGCAGACATATCAGCCCCGTTCTTTAATTATAAGGAGCCTTAGCTTTGAGTGCGTTTATATGTCAATGCACTGGTGGAATCGATTCAAAAGCAAAGTAAATTGCTCCCATATTTATTTACCAAATGTAAAAATATTATGACGGCTATTATCGCCAATATAAAATAGCATCACTAATTGTAGTGGCGATAGTGACGGATGTTGCGTGTCAAGTATCTTGATGGCAGAACACCTAAAGAAAGAACGTACATCATGTAGAATAGACGTCTAACTAATTCGAGAATGACAATGCAGAACATAAAGCGTAGATATATTATATACTTAATCTGCAATAGTCAGCAGTTATCTATGCAGTCAATGTCGATAGTAATAATTTGTATCTAGTTGCCGGCGGCTCGCTCGACGCCAATCCAGTGGAGGGAGATTAAAAACGACGTAGCTCGCGTACCTGTGCCTGCGTGCTCGCTTGTTTGTCTTCAGTTTCAAATGGCTAACATCCAACTTCCGGTGTTAACAACGTTTACCCACAGATAATTTACCATAATAACGATAAAAGAAAATTATTACGACTATTGCAGTTTTTGTCTATTATGCAATAGTCCGAGTGTCTTATATTTAGCCAAAGTCTTTACCATAGATGGAGCCACATACAACGACACGAACTACTCTTTCTTTTTAATGTTCGACGCTGTTTGTAAAAAAGCCCTTCTCGTACCTTGGATTATTTTCACAGCTCAAACTCCTCTAGATCTTGCAGACTTTTAGAGTCAATGGAATTGCTTAAAGCTAGCATAATAAATATTTAATCGCGTGACGGTATGAGTGCTTCGCATGAATCAACGAGACTTCCGTCATTTTACGGAGATCTACCTCACAAATCTCCCTTTGTGAATTTTTTTTAACAGAGCTTACCGTATGCGACCAACAGTTTTCCTGCACTTCTGAAGACAGAGCCCGTCGGCACAGCTACAAATATAAATTTTGTTGAATGGCTTCCTATCTTATAATTTGCTAAAGTTCATATTCGTTGAACCATCTTATGTATACTTATCTAAGGTTTTCCGTATCAGATCGAATTTTAATAGCGTTTCTAATACCATTTGAACTGCCACTATTTATTTTTCAGTTTTCTTAATATCTTTAGTATCAGCTCACCCTGCGGTTACGCATAACCAGCGTAAATGTAATTGCGGTTTCTGTCCGTACGGAATTGACCCGAACTAGAGCCAATATTTCCCATGGCGGACATATTATAACCGATGACATTTCTGAGCCATTAGCCCACGACCCGATTTGTGCCCAAATAAGGTATGTACAGGTAGGCAAATAAAGTACAATTGTACTCAAACTGCGATGAGAATATAAAGGAAACTTCACTTTCTGTATCTAACTAATATAATACCTTCAATTAATCAGTAAATTGTAATCAATTATGATACGGAAAAATTATTTATCAAAATGCTTGTTTACTCGACTTTCTTTCTTTTGGGTTGCAAATTGTTTTCTTTCTGGAGTGTTGTACTAGTTGGAGTTAGTTTTATAAACTCAGATAACTGACCTTTTGTGTCGCAGACGATTATATCGTCTGCTCGAAATCGTCAACTGTGTGTGAGGTATTAAATGATTAAAACACTCTATGAATTGTAATGGTGAAATATATTTGCGTGCATGTGGGTGTATGTAAATCATTCGCCGCAATTAATTTACTTCGAAAATATCCATCAGTAAGTACACCCCTTTGCTTTCAACTTTCTTTTGCATGTTATGTAAGTTGATAGAAATAGACAGATGGGCAACTCCTTTTCGACGATTGCACATTTTGTGAGCAGTCTTCTGATTCGAACCTACATTGTTTTTGCTGAGCGGAACTTTAGCCTCTTAAACACCACCTAGACCAAATATCTGTACCTGTAAATAATGGTAGGGTAGCCTGGAAATTAGCGTTCCAACACATTTCACCGTGCTCCTATTCCGCTCATATTTGCAAAATTACAGGCAAGAACACCTGAAAATGCCTGTTTCAAGATAAGTTTTAAAATCCCAACCCTTCAGTTATTTAGACTCAAAGTTATCTTTTTTTGTACATGCTGGAAAGGTCATTGGCAGCAAATCGGTAAATCCAGCTTGAAAACAGCAGATAAGTTATTGTTTAATATTAGCATAAATAGAAAACCATCTACTACACTTACATAATCATATACTCTGATATTAGGAAAGTACTGTATGGTATGAAATTACTGTAACTTGTTTCTCAGAATAAAAGTAAGTCCATCTGTAAATTGAATTTTCGAAGAAGTATTAACCGCTTTTAAGTCAAAATTGAAGCAAATAATTTTTATATTTAAAACTGTATTACTAAACTAAATATCAATGATCTTCTGCTATTTTTCTAATAATACCATAATCCCATGACGACATTACTTCTATGAGTTTTATGTCAAAAATTGTGACAAGTGATGTTTGCATTCCTCCATTGAAACTAAATGAATATCGTTAAAATATCTGTGCAGAGACTGAAACAAATGATAGGCTGGTGCAAGGTTTGGGCTATACGGCACATGCATTAAAGTTCCGGACTTGTTCAAGTTCTTTTAATTTTTGAATAATAGCTAAAGGTTATGTGGTGTAGCACTGTCATGTTAGAAGATGATGCCTCTTCTATTTGCTAGTTCTGGTGGATTTTTTAATGGCTTATTATCATATTGGCAGTTGTTGAAAATAGAAAATCAATCATTTGGGCAACTTATAACGAACGATACCTTTCTAACCCCACCAAGCATATGGCATCATCTTCTTGGATGTCAATCTGAGTTTTATCACAGATTTTGAGCGGCACTTTTTTTTTTATTTGCACATTATTGTCGCATGTGATTTGCTTTTCATCTTCTTTTCATTAAGCGCTTTAAAAATTACTAGGTTTTACTGCATTTTTGTAGATTCGCAAATGGAAATACGGTCTAGTAGACTCTCTTGCTACGTTCCATGTGGGACTTGATCATTGAGTTGCAGCCAGCTCTTTTTAAATAGCTTAAGACCTTTTGATAATGGGTGTTTAGTTCCTTGGCGATATCAAAGCTACTGACGTGTCGGTGACGTGGTCAATAATTTCATGAACACTTTCCGTAACTGGTCGACTACTATGGGGAGCATATTTTATAATGAAATTTCCAAAATGAGAGCGACAAAGCTGTTCCCTCCAATAATGCATGTTGACCATAAACAACACAGCTCTTTTGTGGACATAGGCAGAATTTGTGTCGTCATAATACACTGAAGAATATAGCAATTTTTTATAGAATTGTCTCATCTACAAATCGCTCTAAATAAAGTCATTTCAACAATTTTAGCGCATCTACTTCAGTTAAATCTCAGCTTGAAACGACGCCGATGTCGACCCCGCAGGTCCCGAGATAAGTCGTTGCTTAAATAAAGAAACGGTTCACATTTTTTTGACAACTCAATAGAAATAATGTCGAATGTCAACTAGTTATTGGATGAAAACGTAATAGCTATTTTTCCAAAAAGTTTTAACACAGTTTTTTACGCAAGACAAGTTGAACACTTTTCTCTACACAACATAGTCTTCACAGAAATTTATATCCGTACATTTGATGATAGATACATCAGCACAAACGGTGCTACTGGCCTTCGCGGCGTTTCTAAGTGATTGTAAGGCGTTGTCTTTAAATGCGGAAGACGAAAAGGAGCTTACTGCTACCGAATTTAATAGCTTTTTCTACAATACAGTTTAAACACTTTTTGACTTATCAATACTTCTTTAACAATCCATTATATTCTAGGCAGATCGTTAGATGCCTTGCTAATTTTGTATGCGCTTTTCTTGTTCGATTATTATAAAGCGTACTTTGTTCCCGTTCATTCTATGCCGCAACGGATATTTCTGTACGTAGCGGATTGACACAGTTGATAGAACGACCGTTTTAGAATCCTCCTTATTCCACTCTAATTTCTGTACCGTAGTGTACACCTTAATATGTTGCTTTCAGATATAAATGTAGTAATAACTTTAGAATCTATTCTTTCTGAAACAATACGTCGCATTAATAAACCAAAAGTTAAAAACAAAAAGCATTAAAGCGGCTTTCATAACAAACAAATACATTTATATATATACACGGTTGGGCATTTAAATGAGGACAAGGTTTGACAGATAATTTGTTGTAACACGTATGCGTTCATTTACCACTTTTAATTAATTTTTTTTTTGTAAGAACAAAATAACGATACGTTATGGTGGAACACAATGCGTCGCAATTTGGGTAAAAAGGCGCTATTATCCAATCCGTGTGGGGATCAACCCACTTTAAGATCAAAAGTTTAATTGAAATCAACAGTTTACTTTATTGGCAGCTTTCATGTGACTTCTGAAAAATCCGATGAAAATTTCTATGAGGCACACCAGAAGCTTTTCGGTAGGTTGAAATGCTCAAAAACGGCTTGAAAACTGATTTTCATACAGGAATTGACGGCCATATTCCAGAGGAAGGTACCAATTTTTGATTGGATTATCCAGATAAGCTCCAACAATTTTTTCTACGCCGTTTTGAGCCCTTGCATCTTTGGAGTTCCTGACCTATTTTCAGTTTAAAACAAAACACCACTAATTTTTTTCAGTATGTATGCATTTAAGCCAAATCTAAACGAGTTTATAGCTTAATATTGCTTGACGTATGAATAATATCAAAAAGTTGCTCGAGAATTAAGGAATGATTATGTCAAAATGACTAGTGATTCGTTCACGTCCCAAATCAGAGCTTCGATCTAGATAAATAAATACGGCCATCAGGAATATACTTATAGAACATGGAAAAACAAAAAAGTGATACATCTGTTTCTTTTAGATAGTCTTAGAAACAAAGCGTAAGAAAACGTTGCAACTTAGGTGACATATTTTGTATTTCCGAATTATCTCTGTGTTCTAATAGTTTTTTTTTAGCATTATGGGAATGTATTATGCTATAGACGGCTGCCTTAAAAGCTTTCGGGTTTATCGTAGAAGGAAAATTTTGAAGTCCTCCATAGACTCACTGCTTCTGAACTTCGTTTCCATTGCAGGTCGATGGGTATCAGCCACTAAGTTCCTATACTGTTATTAATGATTCCCTTATACAATTACGTGTACTGTTATTAAATGTCGACTTCGAAGCATATACTTAAATTTGGGCGTTGACCGCTGAAAACAGAGTACACATAATCCCGTGAAAACGCAAACGTTCCTCCTAACAAAACGTTTAGTACAATAATTTTTAGGGGATGAGGGCACTGAGAAGTCGCACATCTTTTTGGTGGATCAATTTAAGTCTCGTTCTGCTTAGTATAGGACTAGATACATCCCAAATATCGTGCGGTAGTTAGTTTTAAATTAATTTCATTACGATTTAGAAACTAATATCGTTCATATAAAGGGTGGGGGCTGTCACCTAGTAGCTCAAAACGTTCACCAACTGCCATTCTAGACATACAAGTGTATGGTACGCTGTTAAATTATGCCGTCAGATCACTAGAAATACCACTCGTTGTCGGCTATGTCTTGACCGACAGTTTGCATATAGAGAGGCGACGCTGCGCCTGTTGCGGGCTACTAATGGCTGGATTTGTGCCATAAGCGATTTAGATTTGAAACAGAGCAACTGCCGCAGTAGTCGTAGTGGCGTCCTTGAGCTGCTAGTCGCTCGGTGCTGCTTCTTCTTCTTCTTCAGCCACATAGTGGTAATGTCTGCGGGTGATACTGCTGTCAATGCTATTAAAGCAACTGTTCTTTCGTTCCTCTTGTTACCGACAGAATGGCAAAAACGGCGCTGATTGGCTATTAGACAACATCAACAACAACAGCCAAAACATCGATAGCAGTAACGGCAACTGGAGTCTCCGAACGATAGATAAAGACGGGTCCAACCGACGTGGCCAAACCGGCTAACGACGTTCGGCGGGGTACCTCTCATATCAGATGGCTACGGGAGCCGTTTGGCTCATATCATTCGCTCTAATCCAGTGCCGTTCGTCGATTGTTGTTTTACTCCGGTGGTCGATCTAGTTGTCGCTGTGCTTCGCCATATGCATTTCCCCCTTCTCATCATACGTTGTCCAATGCCGATCGGCGTTATTGTTAGGGTCGTCCGATTTACCTCTAAGAATAGTTTCGGACATGAGCGGATGTTATAGTCGCGATGCCGTATGCAAGCACGCCTTAGGATTTGTTTCTGGTTTTATTCTTAGGCCTACTAGGTCGATAAGAGTAATTTATGCAGGTTACTCAAGCTTGCAACCGATAGATAATATATAGTTAGACGTCGGTATGACTAAATAAATGGTCATAGATGATGTGCATGGGAAAAAACCGACAAACGCCTAACTGTTAGCCGTTACTACTTAAAATCCAAGAAGATGTCCTACGTTGGATGTCCTATCGGCAAAAATAGTAGACTATCAAACTGGTTTGTGATTTTTAGCAGCCAATAGTTACATTCGAAGCTCATATGTATTTACTTGTTTAATATCTACATAATAGCAACATAAGCGCCTACCCGCTCGCGCTTATGAGAATGCATGTATGTAGTTATTTTTTTTTATTTAATTCCTGTGTGTATCGCAAAACTGTATACAACAAACCATGTTAACAAACAGCGTAATTCGACGATCTGTAAAAACTCCACGAGCCATGTATAAATTTTGCGCATTCGAAAACGTTAGCGATAACATTATGATCTGGACTGCCATCCAATTTCCCCTGCTGAAATATACGTTGAAATATAAATGATCGACAAAAGAAACGAATGCTTTATTTGAGCTGACGGCTTTCTGACTTGGTCGATCATATAAGAGAATATTTATTAAGATGACATTAAATACACTATTGTTATCTTGTGAATTGAACGCAGGACCCTATTAACGGTGCTTCAAGATTTCTTTCAAAATGATCGACTTTTCTAAAACATTTTATGCATTTCAAATATATGAAAGCTTTCGATACCAGACGAGCTCGATTACACGCTAGAGTTCAAGCACTTGAAGTTGGCTTACATATCTAAATCCGTTCGTATGCTCTTCAACAAGTCGGAATATTTGCATGTATCTACCACCTTAAAAATGGTTTCAAAAATATTCGAAATTGTTTTAGGCTCGGATTTTCGAAAAGAAAACTCTCAAAGAAGCTACTGTCTGTCTGTGATAAATCGGGTTGAGCTTAAAGTGTAAAAGACCTCTCCATAGACCGTAATGTTAACTGTTGTGTACGGCGCTGTGCAGTGCTGATGGTGATATCGTTCGGCCCACATATTCTTAAACTCTTTATACTACTTTATTAGGAATTTGTTTTCTAGCTTCTAATTAAAAGTTGTGGAACTTGCTAATTTCACTCTATAAACTATAATAGAATTAGCATAAGTGTATTTTGCGAACTTTAGAGCTGACGCAAGCTACAGGTTTTGCTGCCTAAAGCGCAACTTAATACATGCAGTCAGTTATATAGATCAGCAGATATTTTTCCAGCTACTTGGATATGTAGATTGACTTATCTAATGTATTAGATCACTTAACGTAATAATAATACTACTCCAGGACTAAATAAATCTCTAGAAGATCCCTGCTAGACCGTGATGTCGACACAGTTCTCGAAAAAAACTGCGATTTATTAGCGCAAACGAGATAGTATAATCGTAATAACTTTCTATATTTTTCGACCAATTGCTGCAGATGTAATAAGAACAAGCAAAAACAACTGCTATAATATCTGGAAGGGTGACGACTGCTGCAAGCATCGTTCGTAGCTCGTACGAAAAATGCTAACTGCATAGGCATCAAACGTTCCATTTTTTCTCATGCAAATTAAGATAATAGGGACGAACAAAATCAAGCTTTAAAAATCATGTTTGCTTGCTCAGTTATCTCTTGATCAAGATCTCCATTGAAGGTGGATATTTACAATTGATATACACACCGGCATTTGTAATGGCCGTTTCCAGTAGGAACTGTGGTTAAGAAAAATACATATGCATGTATTTACAGTTATTAGGTGAACTATAGATTAGTCGTAGATAAATCATGCACAACCTTCTGTATTTTTTCATTGCACACGCATGTTCATGTATTACAATGACTTTGCTCCCGGTTTATTATTATTTGCTACTGTCCCATAAGCGATACTATATTTTTTTTATAAGTCCGAAATTAAAGGTATCGATGCGAACGTTTTACTCATACGCATAAGGCTTATTTAGATATGATATTTATCTTAGTGACACTTACCATGTTCGCAGATTTGTTCTTATAGCGATGTACGAAAATCCCTTATGTGTTAAACTTGTATCCTTTTTTTGGATTATTGCTCAGTATACTTCCTAGATTTACCTGAGCCACTATATGCTCCCAAATTTTCAAAAGAACTCGGGCTTACGTATCCTCATAAAGAGCACACTTTTGTCAACTAGCCAATACTTTTTACATACGGGGCTACAGTTATTTGACACTATTTTGAAGTAGCCTTAAAACTAATTCAACACTATCCGCTCTAGCAAGCACTGAAGCATTCTCAATTCCGTTCGAAAATACCGTCATACAGAAGTCTGGAGCACTAATCGTTGGTGTGAGCAGCCTGGCCGTATAAAATACAGTCCCAGTAGTAATCCTGAGCAGCGTCTCCCCGTTCTGCAGCTATACGGTGTTGGGTCTATCTGATTTCTAACCCATCAGATGCAAACGTGGACGCCAGTGGATCAGGCAGATGGCTGTTGATCTTCGACGATGGTAGCTCGACTAGACACTCTGTGTTTGCTTGCTACTTGCAACAACAGCGTAACACGAGCCCCCAACAACGTGGTGGCTGTTCGTTACCCGCGTGTGCACCCGGCACAGTTTTGCCCAAGAGTAATGGTGGCAACTGCCTGTGTTGTGTTGCTAGTGCGGCTGCTCATTCCGGGGCCACAGTCACCAGGATCCCGCAGACACTGGTCGATAAGCGGGCGAGGAGAGGGAAGTAAGTCCGACTTTGCCTTCTGCTTTAAGCGCTCGCTCCCGCGGTTGCTGCAAGAAAAGCGGACCGCCAGACACAGAACCGCAGAACCACTAATAGAACTACTGCAACGATTCCTCAGCCTTCTTAGACCTCTTCGTTTACAATCTGTTCCCTTCGACACCATATACATCACTTTACCCCCGTACCCTCTCTTCCGCCAGCTAGCCGAAGTTGGGGCCACTCCATCTGGTAATATACTGGCAATGCAACGCTGTATAGTAGACGTGGTAGTAGAAAAGTATATAATTTTATCTTTTGCTTCATAACAGGGGAAAATTCAGCTGGGGTAAGAAAGGGTGAATAAAAAGAGGATATTGTCAGTTGGCCTCAGATTGAGTAAGTCGAGATCAAACTAGGAAGTGCAATTTCCTCTGATCAACGTCAGTGTAAAATTACTTTTTTGTCGTTTGTGCTAGAAGCTTTCACAAGCACCTTTTCACTTCTCAAACAACTATGCACGAAATTGCAGAGAGACTGTCCACATCTTTTATCAAAAAGTTTATATAATCATATGTATAGTGTAGAAAGCCCAAAAACATACAGGCAGAGCGCGTGCCTCAAGGGGCTGCGGCACTGCTGTAACTGATAAGCTGAATAATCTTGACCTTTGTTAAAACCTAAACGTATTCAATACATATCAAATTTAACTCCACAGCTTCCAATACACTTTTCGTTATCTAACGATGTTTCTATATATATGAAACGATGTTTCACGTGAAACTATATAGCTACTCGTTTGTTTCTCAATGTTTTTAATTAACGTATGATTTTCAGCATATGCAGTGACGTCTGATGGCTCAACAAGTGCACATCACAAAATAGAGGTAATTCATTGTGTCTGTATGTAGTTTATAGAGGAAAAACAACTGTAAATCAGTATTTGGCTTGTCTATGTTGGGTATTTATTACAATACGACAAGCAAGCAATACGCTACAATCAAATCTACATAGGTACAATGGAAAAATAAAACCCTGTCTTCCTTTGTAATTATTGCCACTTGACTCGCCTAGTTTGTATTAAAAACTATAAAGGAACAATCATCTGAATTCCGTTCTAAGAATTAAAGGAATCGGAAGTCAGAAGGTATAATAGAATGTTGACTGAGTAGAAGTTCAACTTCGAGATCATTTAAGCCTTCCGAAAATGTATATATTCGACGCTTTCGAAATATTTTTGACTCTCGATGGTTGCACCTGCGTGTAAAAAAAGAGTCAGCTTCGGATTAGACATCTATCGCTTTGTAGCTTTTCGAAACCTGTTATGACATTATAATATATGTAATAATTTGCAAATAGAGGGTCTCGTAGATGAAGATTACCAACAGCTAAATACTGTGCTTCAAGAATGAACACTTAAAGTTAAGAATAAAATTCAGTTTAATTACAGCAAAGCGCTTGAATGCGCGAACAGCTACCAGACAAACTAGAAACATTAAATATTGATGTCCTCTCTTTTAGGTGGATCGGAAGTCATCCGACTAAAAAAACATTTTTGGTAAAGGTGTTACCAGAAAAAAGTCTCCGAATTCCTATCTAAGGTTCCACAAAGTTCAAAGGATGAAATAAAGCGAGATATTGATCAATTCTAAAATGTCCTGTGCTAAAGTCAAAAAATTTCTGTTAATAATACGTATTAAAAAATCCTTGAGTCGTGATGTCGACTCATATAGAAGTTCAAATAACGGTTCATATATAAGAGGTTAGATGCATTTGACGCCGGTCGTAGCCAATACAAGTTTTATGATTTTTATTATTGAAAAGCCCGATGTTTACATTCGTTATATGAATTCTAGTTTCCCTGAAAGTGGTTTGTTCTCCTCAAATATGACGACACTTTGAAGTGATGTTATTGTGTGTTAGATTATGAAACCGTGTGTCTTGAAGATAAAGTCTCGAAATCAAGTCGAACACAAAAATATATGGAAAACTTTATGAAAATCCTATTTTTAATTGCGAGAAGTGAGCACCGCGTCCCGTATATGAAGGGCCATTTTGTGAAGATACTGACTTTTAATATTGCTCATTTATTCCAAAAAACAATGATTGCAAATGCCTGTTGAAATGAGGTTTCACATTATGGGAGCTTTTCAAGGGTAAGATTGCCTATTAGCGTTAATTACTAAAAATAGAGGAAATCTAAATCATGGCAAGAAAAAACAATAAAGGGCAGTGTATGTGTATATATATCAAATTACTCATACACATATATATATACACGTATAATTTTATAAGGTTCAGATCTATCAATTATCTATTTATTACGCTTTATTCAAAAATTAGTAGGTCGTTTGAATTTTTCTGCTATTGAATGATGGCTTATGATCCGCATGTTTTGCTAAAAAGAGCGAGATTTCTGCTCCACACAAACGGAATTGCATAATAGTCTGCTGCACTCTTGAGTAAAGTTAAGTAAGTATATGTATTGAACGTTCTACGACGTTTCTCAAATAGAGCAGCAAACATGTATTAGGTTGTATGAAAAAAATTAAAGCAAGTGCTTGCAAAAACCAGACACTGAATAAAGCTGAAATAAAGTGGTGGTTCAAGTATACTGGAAACGGACAAGAGCCCATCGAAAACGATCCTTATAGTGAAAAGCCTCTTACAAGGATCACGGTCGGAAATGCGGAGAGAGTGTACCTCATCTGTGCTAACCGCCAAACCGCTGCAAGGGAACTAGCAGAAGAGATCGAGATCTAAACGGAGTCATGTCAGATGTGACATGAGAACACTTACGGCAAGGTTTGTGCCGAAATAGTTGAATATCCAGCACCCTGTAGAACTGTGTCAGGAAAGTTTTTTCCATTTCTAGAAAAACTAAACTTACCCCGCCGCGTCATTGCAAACGACCATATGCGGCTGTGCGGCTGCAATGCAAAGACCAAGACGCAGTCTTCTAAGAATTAAACTCGAACCCCGACTACCTATCCAGGCTTAAAAAAGCTTCTCATGGTTTTCTCCGATTGTGGAGGAATTAGCAGTTCATTGCAAGTTGCCGCTGTCTGACTTAACGATTACCTAGGAATACTATCAAAAGTTTTGGGAAGATTACGCTAGACTGTTCAACGCAAACGTGCAGAACTATAGCACCGCAAAACCTGGGTCCTCCATCACGATAATACACCGGCCTATACTTTACTGCTCGTACAGTAGTTTTTGCCAAAAAAAAAGGTGCTGGTTTTTGTTTTTTAGCATAAACTCAAGTATTGAGCTGCGTTGCCCCACCCCCTGTTTTCAACGAACCTAGCTCCTAGCGATGGCTTCTAATTTGGGGGACATGTTTCGACATGATAGAAGAAATAAAACAGAAACCACTGAACTAGGTCTATCCCAGGGATTGGACTTGAGGATTGGGAAAAAGGGTGGCATATGTGTGTATCTGGCAGAAATTATTTCGACGGAGACAACTTGAATTGGGTCAAGCAAATAGATATTTATTAATTTGGAACACACGCTTCATTCGTTTTTGAAGAGAGGCTTTTATGTATATCACTAAAATTCTTCGGCTCTTTGCATACCCGACCCGAATAGACTCCTTCAAAGTAACGGTATTGAGCCGAAATTTTGGTGAGTCGCTAGAATTTTATCTTGGGAAGAGCTGGGCGCAAGACGAAGCCAATCGGATGAATACTTTTTTAAAATTTATTTTTCCCACAAAACGTAACGTTTATTTGGGGAAACCGATCGATTTTGTTAAAGGTGCATATTGATAAGTTGTATATTTTTTTCAAATTTAACAAAATGGACACAAAATTACATATTAGAGAACATGTTCGATTTTTCTTTTTTTTACAATTAGGGGTAATTTTTGCCTAAGTGGTCTATAGTTAATGCAAAATTTCACTTTTTCCAAGTGTGTAGATATTTTTTGGGAGGGCAGGATTTTCGCTATAGGAAGTGTAACACTAATTTGGCTAATTTGCGGAACGTTTGATGAAATTTAAACAATCTCAGCATTTTTGTTTTTTGCAGCAGGTTTGTATTCCTTGCTTGGATGAATACCTTTTTTTGGATGGAGTTTTTTCCGTAGAGCATATTGTAAACTTGGATGAGTTGATCTTTTCTGGCGATTTGCTCGACAATCGTTAGTAACTGGTGAAAAGGTTTTGTTGGAAAGTTATTTCATTTTACGAAGTGTAAAACTAAAAAATTTCGAGTTTCCCCAGGGCTGCAATTTAACTGTAAAATAATTATTTATTCAAAAATAGTTTATAGATAATGGATTATAAACCATCTCACATTCATTAACTTTGTAGACGGTCGTTCTGGTGAGACAATTGCTTTTTTTCTATAGGCCGGCGGGATAGCAAAATGGTTAATTAACCATATTGGTATATATAGTTCATATTTCTCGAATGGAATAATGTTTTTCCAGGTGTTCCAGAATATGAAAAACGGAAACTACCGAAGAAGGGCACGGGATCTGGGTTTGGTAAGATCTTAAAGTGGCGCAACATGCTCGGTTGGAGACTAATTTCACAGATATGCAGATAAAAGAACATTCGTTTGGCTTTGCTGAAGAAAGCGAGGGGCCGTTGGCAATTAAGTAAGAAAAAAGATTACATAAAACTGAGCTTATATAAGACATTCTGAGGACAAGATTAGTTACTGCTTTCAATGATATGATATATGCTATGCTACAACAGATCAATTACAATAAAGCAATAAGGTTACTGAAACGGTGATAGAATAACTGCATCAAGGTAACAAAGTTACCAACAGAATGTAAAAAACTTAATTTATCAAAGAAATAAAATTATCCTGACAAAATAGTTACAACAGGATAGCAGAATTGATGCAATAGGGTACAAGAAAGAATACAACCTGGCACCGATCCAAATATACGTCTATAATAGAGCAATAGTTTATATTAAATAGAAGAATAGAAGTAGTTGTTTTTTTATAAAGCATGTTCTTGATTTGGGCCAGTTTTAGCACTTTAATTAGACAACCATTGAGAATTTTTTAAGAAGTTAATACAGAAAAACTGTTTGTTTTTTAAACTTTGCACCACAGACATTCAGAAATATTTTTTAGTGTACAACTTTTTTTTCGATTTAACAATAAAAATGAAGATTTGTACTTACACGGTAAATCATTGCCGTTCATATTATTTGACTACTCGAATAGATTTTTCGAGGAAATAGTTTTCTCTTTCATAAAACCGTGTAATGGTAATTTATTAATTTGCGAAGTGATTGACGAAATCTGAACCATCTCGGCATATATGGTTCACGTTTCTTAATAGATAATAGTGTTTTCTTCGAAGAGCCTTTCAAAAAAAGAGTTTTCCATAACGCGCAGTGTTATTTTGAGCAAATTTGTCAGACAACCAATGAGATCTTATGGGATATTCATACCGAAAAGTTAATTATCTCTGAGTCCTTAACGGATGCAAAACTGTATTTAGATATGATTTTATTACTTTCAGTGTGAAATTGGTAATGTTTGCCGTAATCTTTGCTAATTAATGAAGTATGAATAATCTCGGTTTTCATTCTTCAACTCCTTTTTAAGCAATCTTTTCTATGTACGCAAGTCTTCTGGATTATCTCTGCGAGGTATATTGTATTAAAGACATGTCCCCACTAGGAGCCTAGCCATGCGACGTTTCAATAACCCTGTAGTACGGCATGGCAGCCGCACAAAAAGCTATGAACTTTTTTAGTTTTTTTTTTTTCTTAACTTTCTTGTCCCTTGCTGTGCCCTGGTTTTCTAGTTAGTACTATACTAATAATCACTCTCGCCAACCCTAATATTCAACGTAGCTTGGTAGCAAGCTCATTGTTTACGGTTATAATAGCAACTCACTTAGAGAGGTGTGTATATGCCACCCATTTCTAACTGTATAAACACTTTCACTGAACGGTAATTTTTTTTCTAAGGAAGCTTTTCGGTTAATTTTCGAAACGCTAGACCAGTACTGTCGAAATATTTCAATGGTGGAACGTATAGTAGGATAACTGCAATTATATAACTGTTGCCCTCCTGTTGATCGAGTCAGGGAAATAAGGTTACTGTGCCTGGATAGCTACCATGAGATAACAGAACTGATGCTGCAGAATCCTAGTAGAATTGCATGTTTATGTTAAGTTGGATGTTATACTAAGCGAATTAGCACAACAAGCTCGAAAAAAGACTGAAAAAAGGTAACGGGTAGGTAGGACAAAGTAATAGCAGCAGGGTAACTGTTGTTGTATACACAGGATGAGTTAAATCATCGATAAAACAGTCACAAGCCGAAGCTCTCGGGTCCGTCTGGTATAGTAATATATATATATATATATATATATAGACATTTTTAGAACCTCCTTGTACCCTAACTTACTTTATCTGTTGATCTTTGTGGCGCTACCGAATGAATAGCGGGTTCATGAATGCACTTTGTACGTGGTATTAATGCTGATAAACTCGTCTATGTGTTATGTTCTTGACGTTACTATTTCGGAACTGCATTATATCCGCGATCATGGACCTTGGTTTTCGAAAAATTGGTACCGCATAGAGCACCAGTTAAGACTAATTACAGTCCTGGAAAATCATCCTCTCTTCAACAGCAAAGCCATAAATGCCTACTGCGTACATGACTGGGTTCGCCCGAGGTAATAGCCTCGGGACGCTTTACTCCTGACCACCTTTCTTCAAACAAATATCAATTAGGAATAGATAATCTATTAAATTTATAATATATACAGATAACATCTTAATATACAGTTGTAACCAATTTAACTTATAGTAATCTTTTGTCTCGTACGGATTGGGGATCAACAAACAGAGCGTGATCCAATTCAGGTGAAGTAGACGTCTAATGGAATACGGTGTATCGCATCTGAATGGGGAATAGTTGCAATTCGTAAGCAATTCCGCGATTTCGGACACTGACCCCCCCCCAAACGCAATATAATTTGAAGTGCCAGCATCACTGCACCTCTTCCAGGTGAAGGTAACACCAGCAGTTGTAACTTGTAGATCTGCTAATAAAACCTGTCGTTCATTTCGTCTCTTTCAGCAAAGTTTGCCTTTCTATAAAAAGTCATGAGTTCCCATGCTTCTACGAAAAGCGTGGCTAGTTCTCCTTTTTAGCAGATATACCGCTCCTTGTCAAGGTGCTTTGGAAACACCGATGAATCAACACTGTTATTAATCGAAAGACGGCAAAATGCTTGATACCAATCTCGAATGTTTCAATACGAGGGCAACACTTGATATGAAATGAAAAGATATAGTTAGAACTTTATGTAACTACCAAATTTTGCCATGTATGCGTTTCAAAACAAACCGGTCCGACTGGAATCTGCAATCTCTAGTGTCCATGATATTGAGATAATAATTATTGAAATCTGACGCAATTAACAAAATTGGTAACAGAACTCAGACACTAATCGTAGTTTCTCATTGGACAAAAACACATATATATATATGGGTATATTCAATTTACTCCAATTTAAATTCATAGTGCATTCTTAAAGTTGGGTGATCACCAAATATAACTTCAAATGCTTTGAAGATTTATTATGCTTATTTTTCATTTACCGGGGCAAACAATCCTTGTCGTAGCAGGCAGTTTTCCAAATCACTGGAGGCTGCATATATAGATGAGATATTTTTTAGAAAGTAGGCAGGCCCTTCTTGCTATGATATGATCTTATATTGTCTATTGTGTGTCGGGTTGAAATCTAGTCCGTATTATTATTACAGAGTAGAGCAAGTATTGGCTAGTTTTTGTTTAAAAGTGTAGTAGTTGGAGTAATCTTGTAGAAATAAATTTGTTAAAGTGTATCTTACAGTGACTATGAGTCACAGGTGAAATAGTCGAAATATATATTCAATTAAAAATCAAAAGAGCTATTGAAATCCCATTGTGGGTCTCGCCAAAGACCCGCGGAGCATAACTGAAGAGCTAAATACTCTGAAGAACATAAATCCGTCGAATTTATCATGTGTTCGATGATTGGCCAACAATGTGATGTCATTAAAGCCTTGTCCCGAAAAGTTGTTAAAACAGAAACATGAGACCTTGCAACAAAAGTGTCTTGGATGGGTGTTGCAGAGACAAGTACATATTTCAACTAAGTGTAATGAAAAAAATAACTTTGAACGATTTAAACTCTCGTTGAAATACCGTGCAAAACGCTCGAACAAATATTGGCTCAGACAAACTACGGACTACTGCAAAAACACAGAGTGAGGTCGCCAACATGTTACAGCACCATTATGCATACCTAAAAATGTCAACTACGGAGAGTACACGGCTGTGTAGGAAGTCGCTGTTTCTCTTATGTTCCTTGATTTCCCAATCAAGTTTAGTGCCTAGCGTGGTCTTTAATTGAAAAGCCAACGGAAACGCATAACTTCCCCCGGAGTCACTGAGTCGATGTTTGCGGTAATTTTATGCTTACACTTTCTAGGATCTTTGGCTGTTCTAATTTCGGTTTTTATATGTATCGCATTTATAGCTTTGTCTAATACCGATATTCTTAATTTATTTCTGCACTCAACATTGCTTATCTCAGAAGTCCGCTCTGAGCCTTAAGGTATCATTCATTTTCTGTTCTTGTGCTTTTTTATTTTGTTAGGTTAGATACGGAGTGCAGCCTCCGTTCACACGTTTCGGCGTTTGTGAGATCCGCGCTAGATAAAAAGAAAATAAAAATAATTTACGATGTCCAGTCTAAAAGCACGCCCATTTTATTAGCTTTATACGTTAAAGAATCTTATTAAATGTCGACATAACACCACTCCACGACTGTGCAGCCAGTGGTATTCGCAGTTCTGTAATAGATTCTATCTATGAAAGTATTTCACTAGTGTCTATCTTTTTGTACGACTTTTCGAACGTCTTGTAGCTAAGACCGTATTACATGTTGTCGAGAATCAATTCCAAGAAGAAAACACAGATCACTTTAAGTGACCTCAGTCAGCAATAACGAGGTGTTAGCAAAAGACATGTCTAATACAAAATAATGTAAGGAAAAGACAATATAGTTGATCAGATATACACCTTTGTATCTCTGTTAGGTTGTATTAATTTTAGGTGAAAAAAAATAATTTAGAGAACTTACAAGGTACCTGCTAACATCTATGCTATATCTTCTCAAAACCTGCCTTTTACATCATGGCAATTAAAAATGGGAAGTACACTGTGTGGGTTGCTTTTATAGAAAACACAGTATTTTCTATTGAAACGAAAAAAAACCTTAGACTCACTGATAAGGACAAAGCGCTTTATAGAAGACTGTACTATTCTACTAGGAGGTAAAAGCTTTGCTACCAAATCGCGATAGTGATGACAAACGTTTTTTTCATCCAAAGTATTTATCTGTGATAGTCCACCTCGATAGTTACGAGAAGAAAAGTGAATCATTATTGATTTATTATGCACTCATCGCCTGTGGGTTTCCTTTTCCTGGCTGTTCCTGGAAGTGTTCGAGTACTAATTACATCGCCAACCATTTTTCGTTTATAATTGAGTGGATATGTTGGCAATTTTATTATAGATAAGTAATATAGCACCAAATGATTTGCTACGTTTAGCAACTTCACAATTTAGTAGTCACAAACAATCTACACTAGCATATATTGTATTTTTTGTATTGTAATTGTAATTGGGTGTATTTTA